TAGGAGACCCCATCAGATCTTACAGGCAAGCATAAGGCATATCTTTTTCTACCTGTCAGTTATTAGGTATAATAATGATTATAGCTAAATGGAGCTTCCAAATTAAGAACTCATGGTGCGTAACACACAATGAACCCTGCCAGTTGAATACATGTCTAACTCATTTTCAAACGATTAGGGTGGTATTTCAACACATGATTTATTCTTGAAAATATTCTCTGAATCTTTCTATTGTACAGGGTTTAATTCTAAAGAATGATAATTCAGGCAGAAACTGATCTGAAGGTGTGGTGTTGAAAAAAAATAATGAACTTGAGAATATCACTGTTCCAGGTCCGGTTTTGTTCTTCTGACCCTCACACTGCCTGTTCATGTAATTCCAGACACAATTTTAATAAGGTGGGTTGTCTGTTTCCCCATAGCAAGTGACCTAGGTGGGAAGTTGGGGAGTTGGTGGTGGTGAGGAAAGAAAGCTAATAACAGAGACACAGATAACAGCAAGCTGTGAGAAAGAAAGAAAAGAGAAATACACATGAGGGTGGGTAGGAGTATTTATCAGCAGAGCAAACAATGCTATAATCCTCAGCTCTGTGTTCCTAAAGGCATCAGTATGTTAGAGCCTAGCATTGAACTTGGTCATAGTCATGATCCTGAGTTATCAACAAAAATCAAAATCATATTCACTTTTATAAGACAGGAATAAATGATATTTTCTAGAATTATTATAAAACTCCCTTTAAGAGTGTTAACAAATAAGACTGAAGTTATATAAAAGAAAAGAGTAGCTTCCACACTGTGTTCAGGGGATGTCCTGGGGAATACCCTGAGGGGGAATTCTCTTTACCTTCCTGCAGAGAAGCTTACCTTTAATCTGTTTTATTTGTTAATGCCTGCTTAAATTTCAAGTGCTTTAAAAAACTGTTTGAAAACTGACAATCTAGAAATTTCAGTAATGCAGAATTTCATTCCTTGATGCTGCCAGAGAGACCACCATATATAACCTTCACACACATGTGATCCCAGTAATAGACATGGCCACAAGCCTTGTCACCCCACCAACTCCTTAGATTGGTCACCCAGTCACCCCACTCAACAGGCAGATGACTGCAGCCTCAATGGTGCCACTTTTTCAGGAAACAGCCTGGCAACCTGGCTGGGGCCTGTGGGGCAGGACACAAGGAAGTTCAAGGTCCTGCCCACCTTCACCAGATGACCCACCTTGATCTCTGTGTGTCACAGTAGCTACCTCAACTGCTTGCTTATGCAGAGGACCCAGAGAAAGCAGAAGGAAGCCCTACAAAGGAAGCGATGGGAAGGGGCTGGGAAGAAAGAGGCTGGAAAAAAGCAGAAAGGGAGCCCAGAAGGAAGTGGGCCTGAGGGGGCAGCTCCACCGGGCACTGTTATGATGTTAGCAGCTACTCTGGGCCTGGACCACAGAGGAGGGAAGCTTACCAGGACAGCCCTTTGGGCCTAGGTACTGATTCAGGAGCATCCAGGGGCCGGCCACACCTGGGTGGCAGGTGGGCTGACTGGAGGAGCACAAACGAGGCATTGCGAGTAGAGCTTTCCTCCATCCTTAGGATAGGAGCAACTCGGTCCCTCCCTTGTCTGTCTGAGCAGTGCCCGAGGCCCCCATGCATGATGAGAGGGGCCCCTCTGTGAGCACCCTGGTCGCAGCGTCCAGCCGTCACATAACTGTATTCAACAGAAGAGACTTCAGAGAGGTATGCTTGCTCTGCAGCCCGGAATCACCAGTGAAGAATCACAGCCCTAGTTGTAACTCCAGCCGCGAGCGCAGTCGTCTCTTCTGAGTGCCCACTGTTCAGATGGGGACCCGTCCTCCTCCTGCAGCAGTGTCAGGATCCCAGTAATGAGAAGCATATGTTTCTAGTACACAATTCATTAATTCTTTTATTCCCTGTAGCTTATTTCCTCCCACAAAACACGGAACTCTCGGAAATGCTTTTGCCAGTTAACAGCAGGATTGTTGAATCCCAAAAGTGTCACACGTTAGTCACTGAATACGTGTGCATTTTACAGAAAACATATGCCAGCACAAATGACGCTTCCCCAGCTGGCTGTGTCCCCTTTAGGATCCCAGCCTTAGTCAGACTTCCGTAGGCATGTCTTTCCTGCCGACCACCCCCTGCTGGTCACAGAAACTTGCGTCGATTGCGTCCCTAGCTTTCACTCATTCTGAAGAGCCATTGAGTTCCTGCTCTACGGATATTTCTGGGTGCTAAGAAGAAAGCAAAAGGAATGTATGACAGGCCCACACTCACAGAGCTTACAGTCTAATAGAGGATATAAGACCTAGAACAACGGGTTAGCACTGCAGCCAATGTGTTTTTGGAAGACTGATGATCAGTAACACTTGGGCTAGGAGTGCTGGGGCGTGGAAGATCCATGTATACTAGAAGGCCTCCAGGAGAACATGTGGCTTGACGTGAATCTTGAAAGATGGGTAGATTTTTGGAAGAGAGATAAACTACATGAGGTTGGAACCTCAATTGCAAGCAAAGCCTCAGACTTGTGTATTGGGTATTGTGTATTGTGAGGACTGGCCTGGTGAGAACCAAGACGGAGGTAGGCGGGTGGTGGAGGGGAGGTGGTGGGAAAAGCTGGGACTGTGGTATCCACAGTGGCCTCCCATTGCTGATGGCGTTTGGAGCCCTTCCCAGGCGGATGCCAAATTCCTTTCCAGCTTTGGCCTGGCTGCCCCCTCTATCCCACCCCCACACATTTTGCATGTCCACTATCCTGTGCCTTTGTGCATGTGGTCCCCTGTGTCCCTTCCTTCAACACCCCACACTTCCCCCACCAACTGACACTCACCCTGAAGCCTTCTCCCCCCACCCCAGGGTACACAGAGCAGCTGGGGACTTGGGGACTTGTTGGTTGGGAGGAATCTGCATAGTTGGCTTGCCCCAAAGTTAACTTGGAGATATTTTGTCTTTTTCGTTGATTTTCCTGTGTTGTAGAAGGCAAAGGCAACTTAGGGATAAAGGTAGGTGATTTACTGATGAATTAGGACTTAGCTTCCAGCTCGCATCCTCTGGGTCCCGTGTAGCCTAACCTTGTATCCGCTCCATTTGAAGAGCAGAGCCTCAAGAATCTAATCTGGGGAAAACTGCAAACCAAAGAATGCAAGGCCACTTCCTGGCGACCCAGAGGCCCCAACGGCTCCACTGTTGTGGGAGCACGTGTGGGCGAGGATGTGGTATGTTAGTCATGAGCGAACAGGAGGGGTCCCGGCGGGTATGGCAGCGCTCCCAGACAATCCATTCTCCACCTTCAGGGAAACTCTCCCACCCAGAATAGAAACACTTTTTCTTATTGTGCCTTCGGTTTCTATTTCCTCAGTAGCCCTGTAGAACAAAGTGACTCATGCTCTGGGTTGTTCACCCATCTCTGTGTCGCTGCACTTCAGCATGTGAATCTGCATTAGGCATCCCTATTCTCATGCTCATTTTAGAAGCCTTCCCGCTTGTATTCTGCTCGAACTTGACCTGAAATCACCTGGAGCCCATGATCTAGCCTGTTATGTGGGAAGATCAGAGGACACCGAGCCCTTGCTGGCTTCTCTCACCTTCCCCCTCTGTGGAGCGGAGGAGGGGGAGCCTCAGGTGGGAGGCATTGCCAGGCCCCTCTCTGCTGTCTGCATTTGAGTGTTGCTATGGCAACCGAGAAGGCCTGTGAGCAGCCCAAGTATTGTTTCTTTCTTCGGGGGGACATCCATTGTTGCCACCTCAATGATGTGCATACCTAGGAAAGGCTAGCATTGGAGACCTCAGGGGTGGAATATTGGGTGCACATGGGACCATTTAGGCCTAGAGTGCCACAGAGTCAGGCCCGTGATCATTTCAGGGGGCGGATGATTATAGGAGCGAGGTGAGCTGTGCAGAAGCCCGCCTCTCTATGCTGGTGGGTCGGGTGGATGTGCCAGCCTCTGTCCTGCCTTGTGCCCACAGCTGCTGTGACCTCCAAGCGAGGGTCTCTGCAGGTGAGCAGGTGACCCAGTGAAGGACATCCATTTTTGGTTAGGAAACAGGCTAACAATCTTGGGCAAGTTAATCTCCTTCAGTGGGTCTGTTCCTAGAAAACTGACAAAGTAAAAACATAATCAAATGCTGGAAAAGTCCGTAGGAAATGCAGCGGGTGAAGCAGAAGAAACACCCCCAGCCTTAAGGTCAGATGGGCCCAGGCTCCGTTCCTGCTGTGCTGTCCACCACCAGGAAGCCTTGGGAAAGTTCCATAGTCCACCAGTCTTCAGTGTCCTCACCCAAAAGGGAAAATAAGTCCTACTCTGTAGGGTGTTGTGAGAATTATAGATAATGTGTATAAGACACATACACTGTCACTAGCCAGTACATAGCAGATGCTCATTAATGTTAAATACTAGTTAAAGTAACCACTGGAAGATAGAGCATAGACCTTCAATTATTTGGTGTTTCCCAGCTAGAAGCTTTTAAAAATACTCACCTAAGCCAGACTTACTGGTATCAGAATTTGCAAAGATAGGATTAAGGAATTTATATGTTTTTTTAACAATCACTAACTAATTCTGGTACAGCCAGTCTGTTATTCGGGATAGGAAATGTGCTTACTTGCTTGAGGATAAAGAATATAAAAGATCCATGCTGGAGTTTCAGCTTCTCTTCACATCCACCAACCCCTATGATGCTGTCTTCATCCTACTTCTAAACTCCAAAGGCTTCTGCTAAAATTATCTGTGTTTGGAAGGAGAATGTTTGATTAAATGGATGAAAATAATTTAATTGGGAAGGCAAAGAAAAACCGAAGTTGTTCACTTTTTCCTTAAAGGGATGTTGAAAAGAATCTCTGTATAGAGCTGTATGGTGCCCCTACGTGACAATTGGACCATCTTTGCTCTCTAATGGGTTATAAACATGACATTTAAGGTGACTTTTACACTATACTTAATCCTTAAGTAGGAGCTCAGCGCTCATGTAGCTGAAGTTCTCTTCTGAATCCCACAGGAACGTGGCTGAAGAGTGGTCTGGGCCTGGTGCACCAGGAGGGCAGCCAGCTCACGTGGACGTACATCGCCCCCCAGCTGGGGTACTGGGTGGCAGCCATGTCTCCTCCTATCCCAGGTAACATGAAGCCAACACCTGCGATGATGCAGGTTGATTTCTTTGATCCTCGAGGGTTCAGGCTCAGTATGCTTTTGAAAACAACTTCAGCAGGGAGATCACATCTTATTTAAAAACAGTTAAAAGTCTGAAAATCAAATGATGATAATAAGATATTTTGTGGGGGTGGGGGAATTCTGGCTGGAATTCTCCCATCTAGGATGAGAATAATGCACAGAAAATAGTCTTGTCTCAAGCCCCCGTTTTGCTCAGACAGCTGCCACAGGGGATTCTTAATCAGAAGCCCACAGAGGCAGCTAAGACCTCCTCCCTAATTCCTGAAACAGTTGTGGCCTGGTGTAGGCACACATCTAGGGAAAAGCCCTCCACAGAGGGACTAACAGAAAGTCACCACTGGGGTGTTTTGGGGGTAAAAAGTTTGATGTGGCATTTCTGAAAGGCTTAAAAGCAAACCAATTGCTTTGTGTCTAGAAGAATATTCATCTCCATTTAGGATATGTGAATTAACTCATATCTTTCAGAACATGACTAAGAGGGGTTTTTTAACCTACATTATCTCAATGAGTATTTCAGATTTTTTTTTCTTCCAAAATAGTCATCTCAAGAAAATCATTTCCAGTGATGGCTTCTGTTGCTCCAGATGCCTTTAAAATCTCTATTACTCGGGCTGCCTTTATTAGTAAATCTCTTCATTGGTGGCAAATCTTTATGCTCAGAGGTTACCTTTCATTATTTTTTACACATCTAAAAGGCGATTGAGCTTGGTCAAATGTGTTATGATTACAAGGTGTCTCTTGTAAATTAATCATGAGGGCAGTCCCAAAATGCAACTTTGAAATATTTTAGCAGTGGAATTATCATTGGAATTAGCACTTATACTCCCAAACTAACTAATTTGATGGAAGCCATTCCTACATGGGTGTTGAAAAATTGCTCACATTGACTGTATTCCCACACTAGGAAAATTTACACTTCACATCTGTGTTTTAAGAGTATGTATTTCTCCTAATGGTATTGTTTTTGTAGCGATATAAGCATGAACCAAGTACAGAAATCCCCATTCTCCAAATCTAAAATATCTAGAATATGACTAAGAGGAAAAAAGGAAGGAAAAGAAACTATTTAAGTGCCAAAATAGAGGCCACAAAGCCCGTGCAGTAAAGTGAACTTTTATCTTGGACGTATTTCACGTAAACTTGGCCATCATTTTTTGCTATCATGCAACAGGTTAATATACACTTTTGTAAAGGGGGAAGAAGGGACTTCTGGATATAGGTCCCCTGGGAGCTTCCTAGCAGTGAGGGAAGAGACTCAAAGCTAGAAGCAGCCTACCCAGCACAGCTTCTGATGGCATTTAGTGTGAGGATATATATGTTGCTAACCTCACAGCTAAAATTTTATTAAAACAAGTTACACTGATGCTGTGCTGTCATGAGCCCAAAACCAACAAGAAAATAATCAGGGTTTTGTTTCTTAATTCTCTGTATAAGAAGGAAGTGGAGTATGACTGTGAATTTTATAAGGAATTCCATTGGCAGAGGTTAAACTAATAATGTTTTGAGTACTGAAAGGATGAATCTTCAGTTGTTTGGAAATTATTTTTATGTGTACCTCAGGTTTCTTGGTCACTCCGGACAGGACTTTCGTATGTCTGTGGAGGCTGTCTTTGTATAAAAAAATTGTTTCTCTGAACAATTAAGACACTATAGAGTTGTCAGTTACTTTTCCAATTTTTGCAAACACTAATCCCATTCTCCTACTCCACTGAAATCAGTTACATTTGGGAGAGATTGACATTATCTTTCGAACTTAAGTAATGTCACTATTTTCAAAAACTAGTAAACCTTCTTGGATATATTCTAGCTCTTAAATTAAGAGATTTGTCTCCTTAAAAAGATTTTTTTAAGAAATCTATCACTTAGAATATCAAAAACCAAAAACAAGCAAATGGGTTTTTATGGTGTTTGATTCTTTACAATGTAAATTTAAAAGAAAATATTTTTATCTCTGGTAACTTTGTCTATTAGTTCTAAAGAGGTCTGTGGCCATGTATGGTGAAAAATTTTGAAAAAGTATTGTACAGGAAAATTTTGTTTTTAAAAACAGGGAAGCATTTTAGTCACACTTGACACCCTGTAATAAGGTGATGGCTTTTTTATTAAGTAGAAACTTTATGTCATACATTTAAACTGATTCATTTAGGCAAAAGTCTCTCTACATGGTAATAATTGACTGCCTAGGAAAAGTGAAAATAAAGTCTTGTGATTTTTTTTTTTTTCCTGCGGTATAAAATCCACACATATTCGGGTCCTCTCTCTGAATGTGAGTTCCCTTTGCTATATTGTCATGCATTCATTTCCTTTTATTAAAAGATCATGTATTTAGAATGCTGCATATGCTATGGGGTGAGGCTCACTTCTCAGCTAAGGAGGGTCCCTTGATACAACCACATGTCAAATTTGAATGTCCAAACTGCTGCTGGCCAAAGGAAGCTCCCGTAATAGTCAAGCTAATCATTGAGTGAAATTCAGGGGCTGCCCCAAGTGCATCATCCGAAGGGTGTGTTTGCATCCAGCCGCCACGCTATGCCCCAGCCAGGAAGAGTGAGAAGACGACATTGCGTTCTCAGTTAATTATCCCTCTTTTTATTTAAAGGTATTCAAAAATCTAAAATGCCATTTTCTGACCTTCTAGGTCCCGTTGTAACACAGGACATTACCACGTATCACACGGTGTTTCTTTTGGCCATTTTAGGAGGAATGGCTTTCATACTTTTGGTTTTGCTGTGTCTCCTTTTATATTATTGCAGGTAAAGTGTCACCATTTTGGCAATATCTTTTTTAATTTAGAATTTCTTGTGCAGTGATATTTGGAAGCATTGATAAGGAGGTCTTTTTTCTTTCTTTTTCTAAATCGAGGTACTTTTTCTTCTCCTGAAAAAAATTTCTAAGGACTTAAATTTGTGATCTAAGCTGGAAACGAACAAACAGGATGCATGAGGCATGCTCTGGATCACATTGCTTAGAAGGGGAATTATAAGAAAGAGTTTGACAATTGTCATACGATTCATCCAGAATATTCCTAAATGCTGGTTATGAGATGATATTCTCAAGGACAAAGTAGAGCTATTCTTATTTTGATGCCATGTCTGGTTAGTTTGCAGGAATGTTTATTGTCAATAAACATTTCAGTGAGTATCTTGGCTGTATTTATAAAAGCCTGAGGATAAAATCCCCAGATTATGCTGCTCTGGGTTAAAATAAGAGTAGGGCATGGGGTGAGAGGGCTTCTGGCTGCCAGTGAGTTGTTTTGTTTTGTTTAGAGCTTTGGAAATTGAGAATTAGGATTTTACCCGACACTAGAAACTTCATGAGACTCTCTAATCTTTGGGTTTGGATTGTGTCTTTGGTCACAGGAGAAAATGCTTGAAGCCTCGTCAGCACCATAGAAAACTGCAGCTCCCTGCAGCCCTCGAGAGTTCCAAAAGAGACCAGTCAACTTCCATGTCTCACATCAACCTGCTGTTTTCTCGCCGGGCATCAGAATTCCCAGGCCCACTGTCCGTCACCAGCCACGGCCGCCCTGAGGCCCCAGGTACAAAGGAGCTGCTAAGTGGAGTCCATTTAGAAATGATGTCTCCCAACGGAGAAGGTGATCTGCACACCCCAATGCTGAAGCTCTCCTACAGCACCTCGCAAGAATTCAGCTCTCGGGAGGAGCTTCTCTCTCATAAGGAGGAGGATAAAAGCCAGATCTCTTTTGACAACCTGACACCCAGTGGGACACTGGGGAAGGACTACCATAAATCCATGGAGATTTTTCCCTTAAAGGCAAGAAAGTCCCTGGAAAGAGAAGGCTACGAGTCCCCTGGCAAGGATGACTACCGAGGTAGTTACAATGCCATGGTCTCACAGCCTTTATTTGAAAAGCAGGACCGAGAGGGTCCAGCAGCCACAGGAAGTAAACTCACCATTCAGGAACACATGTACCCTGCGCCTTCATCTCCTGAAAAAGAACAGCTGCTGGACCGCAGACCTACTGAATGTATGATGTCGCGGTCAGTAGACCACCTGGAGAGACCCACCTCCTTCCCGCGGCCGGGCCAGTTGATCTGCTGCAGTTCCGTGGACCAGGTCAACGACAGCGTTTACAGAAAGGTCTTGCCTGCCTTGGTCATCCCCTATGTCAGCCAACCTCTGGTTGTCCCAGCTGACCAGCAGCTTGACATAGAAAGACTCCAGGCTGAGCTGTCCAACCCGCACGCAGGGATCTTCCCACACCCGGCCTCGCAGATCCAGCCCCAGCCCCTGTCCTCCCAGGCCATCTCTCAGCAGCACTTGCAGGACGCGGGCACCCGGGAGTGGAGCCCTCAGAACGCGTCCATGTCAGAGTCCCTCTCCATCCCAGCGTCCCTGAACGACGCGGCTTTGGCTCAGATGAACAGTGAGGTGCAGCTCCTGACAGAAAAGGCACTGATGGAGCTTGGCGGGGGGAAGCCGCTTCCCCACCCCCGGGCATGGTTTGTCTCCCTGGATGGAAGGTCCAATGCTCACGTTAGACATTCCTACATTGATCTCCAAAGAGCTGGAAGGAACGGAAGTAATGATGCCAGTTTGGACTCTGGTGTGGATATGAATGAACCAAAATCTGCCCGGAAGGGAAGGGGAGACCCTTTGTCTCTGCCGCAGAACCACCCACCTGTGCAGGAGCACCAGCAGAAAGAGCCCCGAGCCTCAGACAGCACCGCCTACACGCAGCTCGTGTACCTCGACGACATGGACCAGAGCGGCAGCGAGGGTGGCACCACGGTCTGCACCCCTGAGGACAGTGCCCTGCGCTGCTTATTGGAAGGCTCCAGCCGGAGAAGTGGTGGCCAGCTGCCCAGCCTGCAAGAGGAGACGACCAAACGAACTGCAGACGTCCCCCCGGAGCCCTCAGCCAGTCCCCAACAGAGAAGATCTGCCCATGACGAAGAGGAAGATGACGACGATGACGACCAAGGAGAAGACAAGAAAAGCCCCTGGCAGAAACGGGAGGAGAGACCCCTGATGGCATTTAACATTAAATGAGCCGTCACAGAGCCACCCAACAGTGGAATATAAAATTGCCAAATATCCTTTCTTGTGGAAGCACGTACCTGTCTGGAAGTCGAACAACGGCCACCGTGGGAAGTGGACGTTGATTGCATTACGTGGCTGTGCAAATGTTGGAAAGGAATTAAAGCTGTTACTCAGAATAACAGATGACTGGTGGGTGCCACCCTCCAGTGGGGTGGCTGAAAGCAGTGTCTGAATGTTCTTCCACGGACTTGACGTGTCCCCTGGCAGGGACGCTGAAAAACCGCACGTGATGTCGCTACGCTCTAATGATAACCTCAGTTCTCGCTCAGATTCTGGGAACAGACGAAACTCTTTTTGCATTGCTTGAATCAACTGCATCACGATAATGCTACGTGAAGCTGTCATTGAGGAATGAGGTTGGCACTGTGTCTCACCGTATGCATTATCTCAAAGGAAAGCTATGCATCGCTGCTTCTTTGTCTTGTTTTGCTTAGATTTTGCTTTGGGTAGGTTTCGTTTGGGGGTTTGCTTTTTTAAAAGAAATACCCTTTGGTTGTAAAGATTTTATTCCTTCATTTTAATCAGTTCTACTTCTTGGTGGTTTATTTCAGTGTCTCCCTTCAGGAATTCCCGTGTCACCTCTTGACATCCAAATGTTTTTAATGAAATTGTACTGAAATCGCTATCAGCTAAGAGTCCTTCAGTTCTGGTCCCATTAACTCCAAGTGCCTTTTTTACAGTGACAACAGACAGTCCCTCAGTTTTTTTGTTGTTCTTAACTCCTTTCATTGAACTGCCTGGATTTTATAAAGTTATTAAATGATACCCCTTTTCTTTAAACTGCATGCTACCAAGTGCCATTTGTGCTCAGTGTCCTCATTTCAACGCAGTGTGCTCTCTAGTTACCATGTGTCATGTGGATTCTGTTAGCTAAGATAGACTAGAGGACACGTTAGAGATGCCCTTCCCTGCTCCGTCCCTTTGGCCAGTAGCCACCATTATGGTTCTATTGGCTGTTTGTATATACGGTTACGTATTCACTCGGGAATCCTATGGGCCGATCTCGCCCACCAAACATGGGAGTATGGACTGAGCAAGTGGACTGAATGTGACTATTAAGTCAAATCTTACATCCTATCCAAAAGTGCCAGAATGACTCTTCTGTGCATTCTCTTTAAAGAGCTGCTTGGTTATCCAAAAATGAAAATTCAAAATAAACTCTGAAGAAAAAAATAATAATAAAACTTTTTTGTTGTCATTTTAATTCATTCTGAGCCATTCTCTGTTTCAAAGTTATCGTTAAGACTTTGTTATTCATTCCGTGTCAGCTTAAAATGCCAGGTGTTGGACTTTTATTTAAAGACCACCACACGGACACCTAGAAATTTCCACTGTGGTTAAAATCCTTAAAATCCACCTTTGTCTTTAGTTTATTTCAAGAACACAAGGTAACATTTTGGTGTGTTTCAGGTAAGGGGAGATGTCAGAACTTTACAAAAAAAAAGTTTTGTGTTCAGTATTGATCCATCTTGGAACAACTTCAAGAAGATATCATTAAAATGACCAGAATTGGGCTGAACCCATGGCTCACTCGGGAGAGTGCAGCGCTGGGAGCGCCGAGGCCGCATGTTCAGATCCTATATAGGGATGGCCGGTGCATTCACTGGCTGAGCGTGGTGCGGGCGACACCAAGCCAAGGGTTGCGATCCCCTTACGGGCCACAAAAAAAAACATTGTTTTGTTTGTTTATATTGATTTATAATGGCTTGCTTTTGGGGGGAGGGTTAGCAATAACGATTATATACAATCTCCTCCAATAAATAGTCTACAAGATGATTCTTCATCAGATTCTGACTTTAGACACAATGGGTTTCTTTACAGACATCTTGCACCCTTATGTAAGCCTAAACACTTCAGTGTTTATTTCCTAAAAACAAAGAATTCTCTTACATAATATTGATTTTTTATGTGTGCCTTTCTAGATCTTTTCTATGCACATATCATTTATTTATATTTAAATTAAAAAATACATTGTTTTGGGCCAACCCCGTGGCTCACTCGGGTGAGTGCGGTGCTGGGAGCGCGGTGCTGGGAGCGCAGCGCCGCAGCCGCGGGTTCGTATCCTATATAGGGATGGCCGATGCATTCACTGGCTGAGCGTGGTGCGGGCGACACCAAGCCAAGGGTTGCGATCCCCTTACGGGCCACAAAAAAAACCATTGTTTTGTTTGTTTATATTGATTTATAATGGCTTGCTTTTGGGGGGAGGGTTAGCAATAACGATTATATACAATCTCCTGCCAATAAATAGTCTACAAGATGATTCTTCATCAGATTCTGACTTTAGACACAATGGGTTTCTGGATAGCACAACATTTTCCACAGACCACTCTGCTTCAGAGAATTAACTGTTCATGTGCTCTTGCATGTTCAGCCTGGTATCACTAGAAAGCACTGAATAAATGAGTAGAGAGGCAGGGGCGTGGAAAGCTTTGAATTCAAATGTAATCTTTATTCTGTAGCCAGTAAAGATCCAATGAAAGGTTTATACCAAGGAAGTAAGCCAATAAGAGCTGTGTGTTCTGGACATGAATTTGACAGTGTCTGCAGGATTGAGGAAGTGAAGGAGAAAGAAATCAGAGATTGAGCCCATCAGTTACTTGAGTAAAATGATCCCTAGTTTTAAGGGCACATCTCTGCCCAGGTAGAACAGAGCCTTCTCCAGCATAATGCATCCTTTTCTTTCACGTGTCTTTCAGAACTGGTTAAAGTCATATGGCTATCTACTTCCCTATGAATCACGGGCATCTGCGTTGCACTCAGGGAAGGCCTTACAGTCAGCAGTCTCCACTATGCAGCAGTTTTACGGAATCCCAGTCACCGGTGTGTTGGATCAGACAACGATCGAGTAAGATTTGCGTAGGACATTGTGCCTTTGAACTTTCTGGGCTTACGTTTGGGTTCACATTTGTCATGGCTTTGTGTACACACCGTGCCCATCCTTCCTTCTTATCTTTTAGTCCGACAGTGTCATCCTGGGAGGGTATATCCCAAAGTGCCCTTTCCTATGTGAGCTGGGGATGTGCTGGGATGGGAGTCCCACCTCTGCCATTAACTTTCTGTGTGACCTTGGAGACAATCACTGAACCCTTCTGGGCCTCAGTTTCCTTATCAGTCCAATGAGGGGTCGGCTTGGTCTCTTAAATCTCCTCTGGCTCTAATCACTTATAGCTCTATAAGTCACTCTCTGTAGTTCCCTAGATGTACACATCTCACTTGACACAGAGAACTCTTGAATGATACTAAGGTGGCAACTCTTGTTCCACTTTTCCCATTTACCAAACACTTGCTGAGTGCCTCTGTGAGCCAGGCACTGTATTTGGTCCTGTCATCTGCCCTCCAGAGGCTCACAGTCATCTGGCCATACCAGTCTAGAGCTCAGAAGGACACATTAAGTTTTGGGGAGATACTTAGCAGATACTAACAGATAAATTAAGCCATGAGGATGGTTGCAATCACTCAGGGAGAGTATGAAGAGGGGGAAGAGAAGAGTGCTGGGGATGGAAACCCACAAAGCCAGCGCAGAAGGGTGGCCAGAGAGGTAGAGGAATCTCAATGCGATGTGATGTCACAGCAGTGAACGGAGAGTGGTCACAGCACCAGCTGCTGCAGAGGTGTCAAGCAAGAGAACGGGGCTGGCCAGTTAGCTCAATCGATAGAGCGAAGTGCTGATAACACCAAGGTCAAGGGTGCGGATCCCCGTACAGGCCAGCCACCAACACACGCATGCACACACACACACACAACAGAAGAATGACTGAAAGGTGTCTGTGAGTTCAGTAATAAAGAGGGGTTGTTAACCTCAGCAGAATGTTGGAGACAGTCAGATTGCAGTGACAGGCAGGGGAGGGGAGGAGTAGGGATGGCCAGTGGAGGGAAAACTTTCAAGAAGCTTGACAGCGAAAGGAAGGAGAAATGGGTAGTAGCTAGAGAGGGACGAAGTTTCATTTGTTTGTTTAAGATGGGAGAGAGTTGAGCGTGCTTAAATCTGTTTAAGAAATAGCTATGAAAGCTATTAAAGCTGTTTAAGAAAAGCCATTCACACCACAAAGGCATGGAGAGGCGCTGGAGTGAGTTTCCTAGGGAGATGGTTAGGGATGGGGGACGGAGCTGGAGCTTGGTGGAAGGAGATGGCAAGACTGGGAAGGCACGGGAGAGTCTGTGGGGGCAGGAACAGGAAATGCACCCAACTGTGGGTCAAGATCAGTTCACCCCATGGGCAAGTCACTCCTTGGCAGAATCACCTCTCTTCATCTCAGCGTGTTCATTTGCAAAGCGGAGTGTTGGATTATGACTCTCGAATTCTAGATTCCATTATTCTAAGCTTTTGAGCTTTTAAAACTTGGTGAGTCTGGAGTTTTAGGATCCTAAAATTCAATCTGAACACTTCCTATTCCTAGGACTCTCTGATTGTGAGGTTGCAACCTTCTGAGACAACACATTTGACTGCTCCTATGATGTGAATCCAGTGGACCCCGTGGCCCTGTGAGCTGGATAAAGAGAGTCCCACTGCCTCTCAAAGCAGAGGTTATTTTGAGGGCTTTACAAGGCTTCAAGGTGGTACATCCTGGGGCAGGAGCACTGGTGTCTCTGCTGAGACACCACCTGGCCATGGGTTTCACTCCGTTCCAGAAAGCCCCAGGCCTGTTGGACAGGGTTCAGAGAGCGGCAGGTGGACAGTGAA